CAGGACAAACAGCTTTAGCATGTCTTTAATTCCCACAGTTCCAGCAATTTGATACAAAATTTGAGTTCAATTGCTTTGGCTTTTTGTTATTGCAGCTACTGTTGTATCTGATGTATTATACTGGAGGTAATTTTTTAGCATTTTTCAGCGCTGATTCCAAGGTTTTAGCTTTTGAAAATATTTCATCTAGACCTTTTGTACTGTTTTCTAGTAGTCGCTGTCTGACAAACTGTGAATTTATCCCTGTTATAAATGCATCTCTAAAATATTCATTGCGATATTCAATAGCAGACACCTGTTTAAAGTTACATTCTTTTGCTAAAATTTAAGAGCGTGTAAATATTCATCAAAACTTTCTCCTGGCTGTTGCTTACGAGTTGCCAAGAAGTATCGTGCATAAACATCATTTGATGGTTTGATGTACACCAATTATAAAGCTTGTATTGCTGCTTCAAAATTTGGACATTCACTTATTATTTCATAAACATCGGGTACAACAAAATTAGTCAGGATTTTTAACTTATTGAGTTCTTGAGGGAGTTCATCAAGATAATATTCAAATGTTCTGAGCCAATGTTTAAATAATTTTGTTGCAGAAAAGTGAGTTTGGTAATGTATCCAAGCGAGAAGGTCTTTTGGTAATTTGGTGGAGAATGACGTTTGGTAATGTATCCGAGCGAGAAGGTCTAATGTATCCAAGCGAGAAGCTCTATCCATATTTTGTTTTGATAAGAGTAGAAAATTGAAACACTTGTATAAAAAACAACAATATTTTAATTCTTATAAGTTTTTCTACTCTAAAATAAACAAAGTAAATAATCAAAACACAACACTACCGTTAGCCGAATGCGAGTTTTATACGATGGTTGCATTTTTCTTAAGCAATCCTTCATAAGAAATAATGTTACTTAAATGGTTTTCTTCTCTGCATTTTAGTGGTCAAAAAACCACTAAAATGCAGAGAAGAAAATAATTAAAGAATCCTATGTTGCTAAAACATAAACATCTACATAAGATTAATATGGAATATTGAACAAAAATAGAAATACAAAAATACAAAAATAATAATTATTAATATAAAATATGATAGTATAATATAAGGTATATTATAAAATATGGCACAATAATATCTATGTTTGATTAAAATATAAAAGCAACAAAAATTAAAAAAGAAAATATTTTAATAAATAATAATTTATCATTCAAACAATTTTAAAGACCAAAAAATAACTTATATTTTACTCATCTTTATCTAATAAACATTAATATTAATACCAATTTTTAACATTTTAGAATTTTTTTTTTAATTAAAAAATAAAAATATTTTATCAGTTATTTTTTGGCCTTTTCTATTTTTACGTCAACTCAATCCTAAGGTTTTTTCATAATTGAGTTTTAATTTGTAATGTTGAATTAACACTGAAAACAAAATATTAGCAGACAAAAAGAATTTTTTTTTCTTTATTGAAATTTATGTAAATATTTCAATAAAGAAATTTTAGATTGATTTTTACAAATATAAATTTATATCAATCAATCTAAATTTTTTTCTTTTCCGCCACCTTTTCGAAATAGAGCGTATTTTAAGAAGTTAGACAAAATGCCATCAATTAAAGTTTCAGTCGCTCTATCGTATTAAATAGAAGAAGAAAACAATAAAAAAGAAAAAGAAAAAAAAAAAAAAATACAAAAAAAAATTTTTGAATATATAAAAAATGAGAATAAAAAAGTTTTACATATCTTATAAAGGTATACGTTTCACTGCACCATATAAATTAGCCCCACTTAAAGCATATTTCCACTTTTGCCCTTCATATTCATGGAGGTCACAAAATTGTTGGAAAATGTTCTAAATTTTAATAGATAAGAGAACTGATATTAATTATGTAAGAACTATTATTAAATTATTTTAAAAAATTATTTAAATTGAACTCATTATCAAACAATTTTTTTGCTAAATAATTTAATCTTTAAAATTCCTGAATAATTAAAAATTATTTTGATTACCTCAGCATTATTTTGTGAATTCTGTCATTTAAAGATATTCCATCAATTGCAATTGACTCACCTAAGAAAAACAACATGTAAAGCTAATATTATTGTTTGAAATTATTATCAATCTTTTTATCAAACTCATTATCCAATAGATATATATTAAATGATAAAAAAAAAAGTTATTTGTTTTTATATTGTCTTGGTCATGACATGAAATTGATCCTATATTAGAACAGGCATAGTTTTAATACACACTTTAGAGAAGAAAAGCTTGGATATAAAACTTTCAATTTCATCATAGGAGGGCTTGTAAACCTTGTATGGTAATCTTCTGGTAGTATGATGTGATATATAATGACATGTAGTTGTAAAAAATTGCAAAACCTCGCTCATAATGTATTACAATTATATTAATGAAAATGAAACTGTGTACATTAAATATTAATTGCCTTCAAAACCATTGAAACTATACAACCAAATAAGAGGTCATTGTTTTAATATATACAGTTATAAGTTTTTATAAGCTTTGACATAAAGCTGTAAACATAAAATTTAAAATAGTTCTGAAACTAAAGGGTATAACTATTTAAAAAAATACTTACTAAAATTCACCCGTGATATTTGCGTTTTATCGTCACCTAACGCCTTGCTCACTTTATCAAATTCAGCTACTGATGAAATAAGCTTTATTTGGCTTATAAATTCACTATTATAAGCAGGCTTGGTCACTGTTTTTGGCTTCGTAGTTCATTTTTTATATCAGTAAGTAAATATAACACTCTCTTTTGAAACCCTATAAATTAAAATAGTTTAACAAAACAACTTTTGTTGAATAATTCTACAAACTTCATAAATTTAATAAACTAAAAAATAAATAATAATAAAACTAAAAAATAACATACTGCCTTCAGCCATCGGGAACTTATAAATGATATCGAATTTTGGTACTTTGTTTCCTTTTTTCTTATCCTCATTGTATGCTGAACTTTTGAAATATTTTTTTTAATGAATTGAACTAAAAACTCAAAATTGAAAAAAAAATTACAACTTTTATTATAAAAAAAAATTTCAAACTTAAAAATTTCAAAAATAAATTTTGTTAATGATTTTTCCAATAATTTTTTCTCAATAAAATAATCTTTAGTAAATAAATTTATGAAATAATGACCTAAATCTTCAGAAGACAAAGAACAAATGTCCTCTTGAACAGACTTTGACTGGGTAATCTTGTTATTTAGCCGTACACATCAATTTTTGGCTCTAAATTTTTAATTAAAAATTAAAACTAAAAGTAAATAATTAACAATTTTAACTATAAATATCTATATAAAGGACACAATATATTTATATAATACAGAAAAAAAAAATTAAAATTTTTTTCTTGTATGTATGCATGTCAGAATTAGGAGAAATGAGGTCAATACTCTTAGAGGTCAGCATTAGCTGACTGCCGACCCTTCCTATTATATATATATATATATATATATATATATATATATATATATATATATATATATATATATATATATATATATATATATATATATATATATACATATATATATATATATATATATATATATATATATATATATATATATATATATATATATATATATATATATATATAATATATATATATATATATATAATAATAAATATAATAGTAAGGGTCGGCATTCAGCAATGCCAACCTTACTGCCAACCTAAAAGACTTTAAAGTCGTCAAAAAATTACTGACCTCGTTTCTGTTTTATGATAACTCCTTTATGTCATATATTTTTTTTGATACCTCTAGATAAGATTGATGATACCTCTAGATAAGATTGATGAACTGCTAGACATAAGGTGCATTGATACTTCATCTAGATTTTTGATATTGGAACCTGTAAAATATCATTACTATTTTGTAGTAAAAATTGTAATAACTCACTTATTTTTAAACAGAAAATCTAACTTTTACTAAATCATAATTCAAGCAAATTAAATGATTGCCTACTTGGAAAATAATCTGGATATTCTCTTTGTTTATGTTTTTTTTTTTTGAGAAAATCAACATCCTCATTATTATTTAGATTTTAAAAAATAGGTAAGAAATTGATGTTACACCTGAAGAGAACATAACTTTTATTAGCGGAAACTTCAGCCAACTTTTCCCAGGATTTTGACGACGCTTCATTGCATTTAAATGTTTGGTGCCTGGTGGCCAGTAAACAGTTTTGCCATCTACCCAATTAAAAGAGATTACACCTTCCTCATCTTGTAGATCTTCTTTTCAAACAGCTTTTTTTCACATATATAATTTTAGTAATATCTTATAATAATTTTAACAAATAATAAAATAAGGGAACCATAATATGAAAACTATTTGAAAACATTATAGTATAGTACCTGGACTACTGTTAAATGGAAAACTAGACTTTTTACAACTTTGACTCTTGTTAAATAATTAATAAAACTTTGACTCTTGTTAAATAATTTTAGGTGTTATTAGTGGAAATGATATTCCTTTTTTGTATTATTATATAGACTTTTTTTATTATTATTATTCTGCAGGATTCTCTCTTTAAAATTTATAACTAAATAGTAAGAGTGCTTGTTTTGGTTTCAAAAAAATCAATACCAATCATAACAAAAACTGTAAAGCAATTGTACTTATTTTAATTTCAGTATTAGATATATAAGAACACAAGGTTTAGAACAAAAGAGAAAACTCTGTACATTAAGAATAGGATTGCAATAATCCCATGTTGCTGAAACATATATATAAAAAATAAAGTAAGACAAAATACTTCAACATAAATAAATAATAATCATCAGAAATACAACAGTAAAGTATATTACAAGATATCACACAATCTGAATGTTCTCTGATTACAAAAGAATATTTGCTTAAAAAGAAACATTTAACCTTTTTTTATAATTAATGTCTAATAGTAATACTGTTACTTTGGTCTTGAAACTAGTATACTAAAAGCTAGGTACGCGTAAATCCGGATTTTACGGAACTGTTTTTTCGCCAAATTCCGTGATACGCTTTTTCAAGTTTGTTAAAAAGTTACATGGCATGAACTTGTTTTGCTCTGTTATTTTATAGAAATATGAATCAAAATAGACTATTTTTGAATACTAGAACTATGGAACTTTAGTTTTGCATGGATTTTTTTAATGTAAAATTTTATTTATTATGAATTTGATTGTTGTTAAAAATTTGCTTGTTGTTTGGACATCAAGTTTATATCAAAGAAATGCGGGATCATTTTTCAAATATAGCCTCTCACCTTTAAAAACCTTTTTTCTTACTACCTGCCAAATTTCATTGAAAAAAAAGCATACCCAGACACCTTAAAACTTTACTCCAATTAGGTAACTATTTTAGGCTTTATTAATGCTATACACAGAGACTGGGAAGAGGGGGCAGAGTGTATTAGAAATAACAATAATGATGTTAAATATAGATTATATAATTCATTTAAATAATTGTAATGTAGTTAGCAAGTGTAATGTCAGTATATGTACCCTTATTTTAATATATTATTATTTTTTATTTTTCAAAAGTAAACTACTTAATTTAATTTTTTTTTCTGCTATCATGGGTCCAAAAATGAAGTCTGTCTTTTATGGGAAATGCAAAAAGTATTTAACTGGTAGTTTTGCATTGTCTCAATTAAGTATTGACTCTAATACAGAGTGCAGTAAAGTTTGTAGAAATGGACATATTCTTTTATAATTTATAAAAAATAGTGGATCGTTAATCAAAACATCTCAACAAGTCACTAAACATTTTAAGATAAATACCTGTAAAAATCAGGTTAGGAGTCTCATAAATAAATCATTGAATTGGGTTAGACATTTTCACAGGGTTGAGGACAGTAATCATTTTGTTGACTTTTGCAATGAACCTTTTTTAGACCATATATCAAATTTGCCTAATATTGTTCTATCATCTGGCTCTTCAGATGTCTCATTTGATAATATGAATGTTTCATATTCTTTAAATCATGAGCCATCTACATCCCAGGTTATAGCAAACGAAATGTTACTAAACATATCTTTAAAGAGAAATTAAGCCCTATAAAACAAAAGCTAAAAGATAAGTTATCATACTTGTCTTCTCGGTTAGCTAACTCTTATATAGAATGTCAAAACAAGATAGCGCTATTAAAAGCTGAATTAAACAGCATGTCTAACCAATTACGTGTTCTAAGACAAAATGTTAAACAAAAAGACAAAATAATTAAATCTTTAAGGGCAGAAATACGCGATCTCAAAAAAAAAAACAAAAAAAATATTACAGTGAGCAGGTTCATCACTTTAAAGCTGAAAAAAAAGTTTTAAAAATAAATGAAAAGCATAAGTTAAGGCAACTCATAACTAAGCATAATGCCGCTGTTTTGACAAATAAAACGGTAATTTCTAGTTTGGAGAATGATTTGCTTCAGATTGAGGAAGAAAGAAATGTAATGCCAAAAGATGAAAAAACATACTCATTACAAATAAGAATGATAATTTATAATATGTTGTTGTGTAATGTACCAACAGGTTACATTCCATATCTTATGAGCAAAATAGGGCATTATATGGGTGTTATTTTTAATAATATTCCTCATCGCAGTACTGTTGAGCAAATGGCTCGTGAACTTGGCAGTTTTTCAGATTTGCAAGCAGCGGAGTGAGCAATGCATAATAATAATCTTACTCTTGGATTTGATGCTACAACACAAGAAGGTGTCCACATTAATAGCATTAACTTAACATCTAAAGACAAATGTCTAGTTATTACTCTAGATCAATTACTAGGAGGAACAGCAAATGATTATGAAAGTCAAATATGCACTTCAATTGATTATATGGCATTTGTTTATTCAGATTTTTACCAATGTACCTTTGATGACTGTCATAACTCAATTATTAAAAATATATCTAACACAATGTCAGATAGAGTTGCAGTCAACCATCTTATTATAAGCAAAGTTTGTGCAACCTGGGGCAAGAATTTGAATGAGCTGAACTGCTATTTGCAACCTCTTGACACAATTGCAGTGTCATGTCGCTCAGCGTTACAGTCTTGTGAGAGTGAGAATTGTCAATTATTTGGAAATGATTGTATGGCAGTTAAAATTATTTTAGCCATGAACAAAATGAGGTTTATAGACGTCAAAGGTGATCCAAAAGGATTTGTAAATTTTTTAGATGAAAACGATCTACCACGAAGTATTATTCCAAGATATCGAGGAAATCAGCTTCATATTCTTTTTCATACTTGTTTTATTTTTATGAAACATTACAGTAGTTTAAACATTTCCTTACTGTTGGAACAGTAAAATGTAAAAGTTTGCCAGCAGTTCTGAGAGCGGCATTTTGTAATAAAACTGCCATAAAAGAAATGTGCGTGCTTGCATTGTTTGGAAAACTCCTTACTGGGCCTTGGATGAAAAAGTTTTATGTTTCAGCTGAGGATGCAACTTTTGATCATATTTATAAAAAGTTTTGCTAGTAATTACAAATTGTAAATCTAATCCAGCTGCTCTGTTTCGCAGAAGAACAGATTTTTTTGGGAATACTCTTGCCCCTAATATTTTAAAATCAATATATGCTCCATTACTAACCACTAACACTCGTATAAGTTTCATTGATAACCAGCTTAAAAAAAAGATTTCTGCTGTTCTTTATGCAGTGTAAGTTGTCTTGAAGCGACAATATAAAAGGTATTTCTCACTTTCTATTACAGAGACACTAAAGGAGGAGACTGCGAGTGCAAGGCTTCACAATATTGATTGTGAAGAGATAGTCGGTATGTTTAGTGATGCCATAGGAAGATGTCCTAATGCCAGATGCCAAATACTTGCAACAGATTTCATTACAGGAGAGTTAATATTTTCTTGATTAAATGTGTATGATTGTTACTAAATTTTGTTTTTCAAAACTTTATTTAAATAATGTATCTAAAATACACCATATTACTTGTTTACAATGTTTATGCTTCATTTGATAGTGTTTATGCCTCGGTAGATTATAGGCATGAACGTTGGAATCTTGACATGTCTTTTTCAAAATTTTGAACGTCATGGAATTTTGACATGTATTTTTCAAAATTTTATGTGTCATGGAATGAGACACTGGAAAAACTGAGAAAGGGTTAATAAACTAAGTTAAATTTATAAGTGCTCAACTGCCTAAAAATGAATTTCATAACTGTGAACCTCCATAAGTGTGAAGTATAAGTGTGTAAGTGCTCTGGCATGTGAGCCAAACAGTTTTAACTTAGTTTTAATAAATAAATAAAAGAAAATTAATGTAAAGCCTTCCCCAACCAAAATCTAAAGCATGTATGTATGTAAATTTTGATAATAGTATGTCTATATTTATCAGTTCTTGTATGTACTTTACTTCTCTATTTTACTACTCATTTTACTACTCGGTTGTTGTATGCACTTTTTTTTTTCGTAAAATTTTCAAGTTCGCATTTATGAAGATTTTTGTTAGTTTGATTTATTCAGTATGAATTGTGCATTTAATGTAAATGGGTTATTACTAATTTCCTTCATCTTTTCTCTATTTTCAATCTTTTATTTTTTTTACTCAAAAATTCGTTCATTTGAAATCAAAAAGATTTAATTATAGTTGTTTATATTTAGAAGTAGAAGAGAATAAAATAGGTATGTTTTAATCTTGTATGTTAGGTATATAGTTATGTTTTAATCTTGTTATAAAGTGTATTAAAATAGTCTATGTTTATTTAGCCAAAAAAGAATTAGAACTTAAAAAAGGTATTGGTCTTTGATTTTCTTTGTTTTTTCAAATATTTTAACGATAAAAATTATTGATTTAGTTAAATTAACTTTTATTACTCATACTCTAGTGGCGATAAAGCAGCAGATTGGTAAAAATACTTAATTTTAATTTTAGAATTAACTAATTAGTTATGAACTAAATGCTGTAATGTTGCCAATGTTTCATTAAAATGTATTTTTTTAGCTCGCAAAAGGGAAAAACTAGGTAAATATATCTTAATGGAGTTGTAAATTTGTTTTTTTTTAATGGTTTTTTACCAAATGAAAATAATTTCAAAAACGTTTTTTTAGCTAAAAGAAAGGAAATTCTTGGTAGGATTTCTATTGTTGCAATAAATGCTGCATTAGTATATATATAATAAATTGTAATATATTGTAAATTGAGCTAAAATAGAGTTATACTTTTTATTCATTCAGCTGCCGGACAGCATTTACTGCAGACCGGTATTTTAATTGTTTCTTTGTTTGTTTGTTTTAAAAAAAAATTATAAATAGATTAACACTATTTTTTATAATTTTTATTAAACTTATTTCAAATTAAAAATTCAAAAAATTAAATTTACTAGCTTCATTGACGTCATCACTGCCATCTGGCGCCCAAAATGCAAACCAAGACCTCCTCGGTAAGTCTTTTACTGTGTTTTAATTTTTGTTTTTCATTTTTCAAACACTAATTTCATTTTTTTAAATATAGGCTTGTCTAGGAATGATTTCTTGGTTTGGCGCCGAAGCCACCCTGGGCCTAATTCAAAAAGGGCCTTCCGCATATGGGCCCAGAATGGAGGTAAAGACCTGCCTCATTTTATATACAAACCTCCTGGTGGCAGAAGGGATGGTAGAATGTAATTATTAACAACTATACGCATACTTATCAATAAATTAATATATACTTAGCTGTATAATATTCACTTAGCTGTATCTATATACACTTACTGATAGGTGTACGTATAGTTTGTATGTATACATTTATTAAGTTGATATTTGTATATAACTTTTTTGTATATTTATTTTTGTATATAGTTGAGTTTGATTTTGTATGGAAAGTTTGCGTTTTATATAAATACTATTTATTATTATAAAAAGATAATATTTGAGTTATTAACCCACCCTACCCGAGGTCTGAGGGGTGGAGAGCTTCCAGCTAATATCCTTTTACGCATCTTCACACGTTTATCCCTGAAATCATTATTTTGATGCTAAATTGCATGCATTTAGACATTTAAAGTATGAAGATGACAAAGTAATGAACTTAAAGTAATGCAAGAAGATACAAAGTAATATACTTGATATTGGGTACCTAGCGCTATAAAGGGTGCACCCGAAGCCAAAAGGACTATTCTATTCAATCAACCTAAAGTGTTCAAATCATATTTGATGGTACCCTGTTAAAATATATTATAAAATACAAATAAAAATTATAAATTTCAATTAAATAATAATATATTCTTTTCAAAAATCTACATTTTTTAATACAATAAAGGGTTTTGTAGACGCCCCTCTAGCACCTTTCGTACACCCTTTGTATTTACATATTGCTCTTTGTAAGACCTTTCTTTTGATACCAAGTTTTTTGCATTTCGATAAGAATTGACAAAGTTTTGACTTTTTAAGTTTAAAAAAATTAAAATTTGACCACAGGTTTTTCAAGAAATCCATATATAAAAAATTCGGTACCTAAAATGACATAACTTTTTGTAGAATTGTTCAATTTTAATAATTTTTTCACCTTTAAAATACTGAATTGAAGACCTTTCCAACGATATATAACAATCTAGTGTTAGATTAATTTAAAAATTTCATGTCACGTACCTATAAAAGCTGTTTCTGTATCCTTTATTTAGGTCTAAATTAATACTAATACCTTGGTGGTCAATACTAATAGTATTGACCACCACACTTGCTTTCGACAGTAACTGATTTTGGAGTCTGAAGCAAAGTTTTTTTAAAAGAACTTTGCTTGAACTTTGCTATAAGTGAAACATGGTTTTTTCCAATTTCTTCTGAGGAAAACACAGAGTCATCGTCATCACTTTGAGACAAATAATAACAAAGATATTCTTCACTTTTATAATCGCTATCCAAATTTTTGTTTTCTTCTACTTAATTGATGTTTTGTGTATATTTTGATTTGTCATTATTTTTCTCAAGTTTCTTTTCTTCACTACTAGAAGATGATTCTGCCAGAGCTAGAACATGAGAGTGGCATTTTTGCCAGTTTCTTATATAGGTCATTCATTTTTTTATTCATAGGAACAAGAAATTTAAGTACTAAATAAAACGTTTTTGATAACTAAAAATTAAAAATTTCACACATTATACTAAAATATTATTTTAACTACTTTTTTCTTTAACAGTTAAAGTAATATCTAATCAATATCATCAGCAATAATCAGTTAAAGTTTAACTAATATTACTTTATGCACAAACTCAATGCATGGTTTTTTTATAATTGAGTTTTTTTGTCAACAATGATTTAAAGTTGAAATAACGTTAAAAAAACAACGTTTAAACGGTAACGTTGATTTAACGTTGAAATAACATTAAAAAAACAACTTTTAAACCATAAAGTTGAAACAGCGCTTCAACCGAATTTCAACGTAACGTTGAAACAACGCTTCAACCGAATTTCAACGTTGAAACAACGTAATGATGCCGGCTGGGTTATAAAAGTATTACGTTCCCGCCGGAGTTTGTGACTTTTAATTCAATCCGGTTTCGGCCGGAACTATATTTCAGGCCAGAATGCCGGAATTTATTTCTTATCTTTTTTTTAAAACGTAAGACACAGACTGTGTAAATGAAATCAAAAAATCATTGTCCTACATGGCAATGAAGAACTTTAGGTAAACCTAAATAAAAAAATACGCAGTTCTTAACAAACTTGATGTAATTTTGTTTGCAATAATAAATTATGTAAGGATTTCTAGGGGTTTCGAAATACTGTGGTGCAAAAAGAAGTTGCTATTAATGTTTTGGTCAACAAACTAGCTCTTTTTTCATCAAAAAATTAATTGACTCTAAAAATAGTCTCATTTTTAATGTTTTTTTAAATTTTGGATAGTTTAAAAGGATATGATATCTAGTACAGTAAATATTTTAAGTTTAAGCTAAATGGAAAAATAGAAAACAAAGAAATAATTTTAAATATAAATATTATTCAGGTTTAAACATTCAATAAATAAAGTTATAAGAAACAAATAAAAATAACAAATTAGATTTAAATGAAACAAGAATCAAATTAATGAAATAGGTTATATATAAGGGAAAGTCGAAACATTAGAAACATTAAAAAAAAAATCGTGTTAAAAAATTCTCTCTAATGTATAAAAAATGGTCATAAGTCTGTTTTGGAGAAACTTAGGTTAAAATTCCCAAATAATGTAAGATAAATTCTATACAAAATAAATTTACAGACATTACCTCCTTTATTAATAAAACTGTTGATACTTTTATTATTGGAGAAACCAAGATAGACAAATCTTTTTTAACCAATCAGTTCCTATTAACAGGTTATAAAACTCTTTACCGTCTTGATATTTCTAAACTAAGTGGTATTCTTGTATATATTAATGAACAAATTCCTTCAAGAAGGTTAAGTAAAGTAGTTATACCTAATGATGAGCAAATCATCACTTTTGAAATTATATTAAAAAATCGAAAATGGTTAATACTAGCTATTTACAAGCCTCTAACTCAAATAAATGATTATTTTTTCATTTACCTTAAGGAAGTACTTGACTTTTATTTGCAATTCTTTTATGATTTTATAATAATAGGTGACTTTAATTTAGAGCAGCATAATAGTTCAATGAATGAATTCTTAGAACTCTACCAATGCATAATTTAATACAACCACCAACTTGTTTTAAATCGCTTATAAACCAATCTTGTATCGATCTCATCCTTACAAACAGAAAGTTTTGTTTCCAACATAATAATGCTGTTTGTGTGAGTGTGTGAGTGATTTTTTTCTGAAAAACTTAATAATGACTTAAAATCTTGTCAAGATATTTGTAAATTTAATGAAATATTTAGTAAAATTTTGAATTTACATGCACCATTAAAGACTAAAATCCTCAGAGGAAATGACAAGCCATTTGGAAAACCAGTTATGATTCGTTCATGCTTAAAAAATAAATATCAGGCTGATAAATCTGAAATTTCTTTTTTTATCATATATGGCTGTTGAGAGTTATTTATATGGCTGTTGAGAGTTATTTATATGGCTGTTGAGAGTTATTTATATGGCTGTTGAGAGTTATTTATATGGCTGTTGAGAGTTATTTATATGGCTGTTGAGAGTTATTTATATGGCTGTTGAGAGTTATTTATATGGCTGTTGAGAGTTATTTATATGGCTGTTGAGAGTTATTTATATGGCTGATGAGAGTTATTTATATGGCTGTTGAGAGTTATTTATATGGCTGTTGAGAGTTATTTATATGGCTGTTGAGAGTTATTTATATGGCTGTTGAGAGTTATTTATATGGCTGTTGAGAGTTATTTATATGGCTGTTGAGAGTTATTTATATGGCTGTTGAGAGTTATTTATATGGCTGTTGAGAGTTATTTATATGGCTGATGAGAGTTATTTATATGGCTGTTGAGAGTTATTTATATGGCTGTTGAGAGTTATTTATATGGCTGTTGAGAGTTATTTATATGGCTGTTGAGAGTTATTTATATGGCTGTTGAGAGTTATTTATATGGCTGTTGAGAGTTATTTAAATCATCCGAGTATCAAAATTATAAAGAACAAATTTAAAATTTCTCCAAGTTTTAAATTTCATAAAATTACACCAAACATGTTTCCAAAATTATTGATTCAACGAAAATTAATGAGAAAACGCATTTAAGCTTATTATATTTGAGCAAACACGGGCATTTATTGAGCCTAGATTGAACATTCTGTTGTGTGGCTTTTGTAGAGATTATTGCATTTAGCATGCGTTTTTTATTTTACTGAAAAATTGCAGGAATGCTTGCATAAAGGAAATATTATTGGATCCATGCTTATGGATCTTTCAAAAGCTAACGACCTGATCCCTCATGATTTATTAATAGCTAAATTGGAAGCTTATAGCTTTTCCCATGAAAGCCTTAAACTTTTACTACCATTTTTAAGCAATCGTAAACAAAGAGTTAAAATAAGTTTATCATTTTCTGAGTGGTTAGGAGTTTCATTAGGAGTGCCTGAAGGATCAATCCTTGGGCCATTATTCTTTAATATATTTATAAATGACCTTTTTCTATTTATTAAAGACTCTGAGATTTGCAATTTTGCTGACGATAGTATTCTCTAAGTTTGTAATAATAACTTAAAGAATAATAACTTAGAGAGTGTTATTCTTTGATTGTAAAACGAAACACTTAACGCCATTGAATGATTTAATTTTAACTATATGATCGTAAATCCAAAAAAGTTTTAATTTCTTATAGTCGGTTAAAAATATTCAAACAGCCAATTTATAATGGTTGGCGACGACAAGATTTTTGCTTCAAATAAAGTTAAGCTACTTGGGGTTAAAATTGATGAGGATTTAAAGTTTGGTGATTACATTAAAGCTCTATGCGGAAAAGCTAATAGTAAATGCTTTGCCCTTTCTCAATAAGAAGTTTTCGATCTTGTAAACAAGCAACTATATTATTTAACCCTTATATTTTATCAAATTTTTCATACTGCCCTTTGATTTGGATGTTTTGCTCAAAATACAATGACAACCTTATAAATAAAATTCATAAAAAAGCACTCCAAATAGTCCATAAAAGATTTGATTTGTCTTTGGATGAAATGTTAAAATTAGATAATAACTCAAGAATCCACCTGCAAAATTTGCAATTTTTAATGATTGAAGTTTTTAAATCCCTTAATGGTTTAAACCCTGAATTTATGAAGGGATTATTTATAAAGAAAACTTTACCATTTCAACTTAGACGTTGCAGTAAACTGATACTACCGCCCAAAAAATCTAATCATAAAAATACAAATAATGTCTTAAATAGAGCCACCTCGCTCTGGAATCAGTAAACAACCAGGGCTGGTATTTGACTTGAATCAAAGCAGGGTTTATGGCTGAGGCTGTATAAATATTAATGCATACTGATATGATATATGAAAACAAGTCAATATGCACCAACATTTACGCAGCCATATCTGTAGAAATGGCCTTGGCCACGGTCAAATACTAGCCCGGGTCGTTTACTATCTGGAATTCCCTTGACAATAAAACCTTGTGCTCAAAAAGTCTCTAGGTATTAAAAAAAAATATTTTACATTGGAATAGGGAAAAATTATTTTGTAGAATTTGTAAAACTTTAAATTTATGTATTATTATTACGAACCATGTCATTTTTACGAACTTATAACTTTATTTGTTCTTTTTACGGTATTTGCAAAGTTATTTTTTCTTTTTACGATATTTATAAAAGTACTTTTTTTTTCTGTTTAATATTTTTTATGCATGATATGTTATTTAAGTATTAGTTATGCTAGTTGTTACTGATTTTTTATTGATATTTTTACGATATTTTTGTTTGTTTGTATTGTCTATGCAGTTTATTGTGTTGATTTTAATTAGTTTACTTACAAACTACTGAATGCAATCAACTATAAATAAAGTTTTAAATAAATAAATAAGTTGAAACGTCATCGTTTAGATATATAAACATTAACTTTTTTACTACTCAAAATAAACACTTTAAAAACACTTTTTTCAAATCTTTTTATTGGAATTAATTGAATAACGATTATGGGTTTGTGTATTATATTATCATCTATATAGACTTTGAGAAAGCCTTTGATACTGTGTCTCACTCTAAGTTACTATTTAAACTGCGTTGTTACGGTATCAAGTATGAGTTGCTAAATTGGGTTTGACAAATCTTTCTCAACGTGTTTGTATTAATGATTCATACTCAAACAGCATTCATGTAAAAAGTGGAACACCTCAAGGAACTGTTTTGAGACCCCTTTTATTTTTAATTTTGATAAACGATATAACCTCGTATGTTGAGGGGGATTGTGGAATCAAGCTTTTTGCAGACGACAGCAAGTTGTATCAAGCGAGAAAAGACGGAAATAATATCAACCTTGTAAATACTTTAAAGAGAAACTCAGAATGGCCAAATAATTGTCAACTCAATATATCTACCAAAAATGTTTTCACCTGCGATACGGAAAGAATCTATTATTAAAAGCCTATCAAATTTATATTCGACCAATTTTAGACTCATGTACCGCTGTGTCGAATCCGTATCTCTTAAAAGATATACGTCGGGTAGAAAAAGTTATCTGCTAACGGTATTGTATTCCATATAAAAATTATGCTTCATGACTTGATATCTTCAATCTTGACTCTCTTGAATGCCGGAGAATAAAATTTGATCTTTTAATGACTTATAAGATTATGCACAACTTAGTTGATTTGCCTTTTTCTGAGTTTTTTACTCTCGCTCCTACTCATTATTCAACTAAATGTCATTCCAAAAAATTATCATCACGTAACAACTACATCAATGATATAAGGAGACTTTTTTCCGTGAAAGAGTTACCAAGATATGGAATTCTTTACCTGATTATATGGTGTATTTTTCTTCATTGTCTCTATTTAAATCGAATTTAAAAACATACAATATTCAGAGACACTGTTTACTGTTTTAAACTTGGTGTTACATAAAAGTAATTCTCCAATTACCTTATCACCTTTTTGTATATTTATTTAAATGCAAATAAATTGAAATAATTAATAAAATTAAACGTATTAATATTTATATAAAAAAGCTACTCATTTTTATTATGTAAATGGATTAAGTTGTCCTCCAATTATTTGTCCGAAACTACCTTATCATACCTAATTCATAAAAAATTAGTTTTAAAACTAGTGAATTAAGGTATTAAACAAATTTTCTTTTTCAAAAAATATGGTAAATAAAAATGTCTTTAATCAATAAAAAATTATTGATTTACATAAAAATTAGATATATTATTATTCGAATCAAATATGATGATACATTGCTCTTCTGGTAGCAGGAAACAATATCTTGCACTTCCTGCCAATAGCTATGACATATCATAATAGATTTGCATATGCCACATTTTCAAAGTCACATGTTTTTTTTAGTTAACGCTGTACATCAAGTGTCCGGAGATACCCGCAGTCCGGGGCTACCCGACTTTTCCCTACATCATAGATTATAAATATATATTATGTAGCCACGATGCTGAGGTGCAGGCTTTCACACTTTCAATCATTAAGGAAAAAAATTATATTTACACGGTTCTCGTTCCGGACGGAATATTATAAACAATTCCGGTAAATACGGCCGGAATTCGAAATTTCCAATCCGGTACACTCCTAATTGTTATAAAGTTTTAATGTTTTCTGCCTACAAATATGCCGCATGTTAACTAAACAAAGATGTGACGTTGCAAAGAAAGTCATATTATATTATTTTAAATATTAGGTCATGCAAAATCCGGCTAAATATAGTCTTTAATTGTGACGTAGATTTCAAAATAATACTCACTTGTGCGGCAAAATGTTTTGTTTAATTTTTTTTTTTCGTGTAAAGTAAACTATTGCAATTAAAGTTAAAAATAAAATGAAGTTGTTAATATAATAAAAATAAAAATAAATTAAATTTATTACGCATTAAAGTTAAAAATAAGAGACATATATATATCCGTCAGACACAGTTAGAGGGGTTGTGTAAACTGAGTTAAAATAAATAAAAGAGTGTAAAAATAATATATATATTTTTTTGTTTTACTTTGTTGTGAAGAATTTAGCTTAATAATAGTTAAATTTTGAAAAATGGAATTTTCGGAAAAACAAGAAATAAAAATGATTATTAAAGAATCGATTTGTATAAAAAAAAAATTAGACATCAATGTTATTAGTGATATTGCTAAAAAAATAATCTCAATGTATCAAAATGGTGGGAAGCTTTTAATTGCAGGAAACGGTGGTTCCGCTTCAGATGCTCAACACTTTTCGGGCGAACTCATGGCGAAATTTTCCGAAGAACGTAAACCTTTACCAGCAATAGCACTTCATTGCGATACTTCAAGTTTAACAGCGTGGTCGAACGACTACAGTTTTCATTCATTTTACGAAAGAGCAGTTGATGGTTTAGGAAAGATTGGCGACATTTTTTTTGCAATATCTACTTCTGGTAATTCAAAGAACATTATAAACGCTGCAATAATGAGCAAGAAAAAAGGTTTGTATGTTATTGGTCTTCTTGGAAAAAATGGTGGAGAACTAAAAAACTATTGCGATTTGTTTTTAACTGTTCCATCTAACCAAACGCCAAGGATTCAGGAATCTCATATCCTTGTAATACACATAATTTGTCAGTTAATTGACAACGCATTCACTAAATAATAAAGTCTACTTTTTGTCTAATAAAAATAACTATAGGCGTAACTATAGGCTCACGGGGCCTTTAGTTATTGTTATTGTTATTGTTAATATATATATATATATATATATATATATATATATATATATATATATATATATATACATACATACATATATATATATATATATATATATATATATATATATATATATATATATATATATATATACTATATCTATATATATATATATATATATATATATATATATATATATATATATATATATATATATATATATATATATATATATATATATATATATATATATATATATATATATATATATATATATATATATATATATATATAGTATGTTTATATAGAATTTTTTTGATATAAATTTAAAACAACTATGAGTATTTTTGGATATAACATTAAACCATGAAATGTATAAATATGAAGTATAAATATAAAGTATTTAATTTTTCTTAGAAATATATATATATATATATATATATATATATATATATATATATATATATATATATATATATATATATATATATATAATAAAAATTAAAAATAGTATACAACCTGTTAATTTATTTTGTATTGCTAATAAATAAAAAATCTTGTAATAATTGTTAAAATTGTTTTAAAATATTCGTTCAAACTATATATAAAAGTTAATATAAACGTATAAAAGTTATATAAACATAAATATATAAAAATGTACAAAAAGATTACAAAAAAAAAGATTTACATAAACTTTGCAAAAAAACATAAAATATTTGTTTGCTTAGTAATATGATACATAAAGTTCATAATAAGTTATAAAAAATAGATATATAAAAATACTTCAGTTATTAATATCATTATGATCTCATTATGATGAAGGGGATCTCAAGTTCTAATGGTTTCATGTTTAAACCATGACTTTATAATGTCTTTAATAATTGCAACATTTGCTTCAAGGGACTTATTCATTTGCACGGCAGCTGTTCAAAACAAGTTAAATAATATGTACATAAATATACATTTATCAAAGAATATATGAGTTATGGTCTATATTCTAATTTTAATTCAAATATGAATTCATAGCAACAAAATTCTCTTATAAAAAAATTCCGCTAAGATAAAATACAAGAGCATTTAAAAATCGCCAAAAACTATTTTAGCATTAATACCTGTAACACACTACACGCATTTTAAAATCAGTTTAATTCCGACGTTGACCCGACATTTCTTTAAGTGTAGTTAAGCCAAGATGACGGAGTCTTTATTCATGTGTCAAGTGCTTTATTTCAGTGATTGTTTTAGTGGCTTTATACTGTACTAGCTCAAGAATAGCAATGTATTTTTCCTTCTGTGGTTATGTATTTATATTATGTATATTTTCTTTATTCTTCCAAGTTGAATCTAGATGCTGCTGATTCAACTTGATAGCTTACTTTAAGACTGTCTAATTGAAGTACTCCTAGATCATGTTTTTGTTTAGTGACGTCCTGTTGAATTATGTTTCCACTAAAGTCAAGCATCGAATAGTTTTGAATAGATTTAGAGTTACTACTCCCGACGTACTTAACTTTACACTTATCAAAGTTGAGAGGCATATTCCGTTTATGCGACCAATCTACTAAGTTATCTATTTCAATTTGCAAGGTTCTTTTGTCCTCCTCTAAGGTTCGAGTATTTTGCAATCATCGGCATAAATCTTTATGTGATGAGTAATATTGTCCGGCAGACCGTTTATATACAAGATAAAAAGGAGCGGACTAAGCACAGAGTCATGGGTTACCCCGCTTGTTACATATTTCCATTTAGATTTATACTTGCCAATTGTAACTCGTTGATAACGATTCGTTAGCCAGTTTGCGATTCAGTCCAAGACCAAGCCGTTTATACCATAGGCTTTAAGTTTGTATTAAGAGTCTGACGTGTGGAAATTTATCTAAGGCTTTGTCAATTGCAAAGTCAGTGAAGATGATATCAGTGGTGTAGACTTGATGCGTTGCTTCTGTTTTATGCCTCTATTATTCTATTGATAAAGATCACGGAACAAAAAACGTTTTTAATATTGCTATTAGTTAGGCTCTATTCGTTGTATAACTTTTTATAGGATTTTCTTAGTAAGTTGTTTTTAATTCCAAACCTTTATTGGGCAGTCAATAATTATGCAATTAAGGTAAGAAATTAGTTGTTTTACAGGTAATTTATCCAGCAATAATATAAAGTAAAGAAAGTTTATACCCAAGCGATAAAGTATTGTATTAAATTTGTAGTTACTACAGATGAGGCAAGATGTCCTCTGTTTCTTGATGTAAGATGTCTTCTTGCCTTGAGGTTTTATGGCATTTCTGCCATTTTAGTACGAGATGAGGATTTTTGTAACGAAATAGCGTTAATATATTTAGTTAGCGACTTTGATTATATGTTTAGATATATTATACATACTTATAAATATTTTTTTTGTAATTTTATATATTGCGTTAAAGGTATTAGACGCAGCTAATTAAAGAAAAGTTGTATTTCTACATTTAAATATTTTTTTAACTTAAAATTTAGGTAAATGATATTATTTGACTTAACAAACTACTTCTACTATTTACTTAAATTATAAAATTTTTCATGAAAAATTATTTTTAAGTATATATAAAGTTATTATGCATTTTGTAAGTTTGTAACTAAGACTTTCTTTGTTTATGTTAATATCGTATTATTTAGCTTAATTATTCTTGAGTCTGTTCTTAATTAACTTCTTAATTAAAAAGTTTATGTGTCTAAAATATTGTATTAATAAGATTGTATTTAGTAATAATACACTATTATGTGTGTTAGTATGTTTATCTGTTTATGTGTATGAATTAAATTTAAACTTTAGGATTTTTATATTTTTTTAAATTACATATTAAAACATAAATAATGCTAAGAAATTATGTTCGAAAAACACAGAGAGGTGCAACAAATGATAGAATAAAGTCTGTATTACATGGTATGAAAATCAGTTGCAGTATGACAAATGTTGCATCAGACTTTAGTATTAACAAAAAAAGATTACAACGTCATCATGACGAAAAAGTAAAGGTAGTTGGTGGTCTGTCTCTAGGTAGAATATCTCCTGTTTCAAGTAAAGAATTTGAATAAATATTGTCACACAAGTTCAGATTTTGGAGAGAGCTATATTTGGCATGACAACAATAGATGCGCGTTGTCTAACATATAATTTTGCAACACAAATGGGCATTTATAATCTATTTAAAAACAAGTCAAAAATGGCTAGAGTGGATTGGCTGAGAGCATTTATGTCTCACAATGCACAACTTTCTATTTGAACACCACAAGCCACCAGTGTAAACAGAGCTGTTGGCTTCAATAAATTAAAACTAATTCAAATTTTTTTTCAATATACAAATCATTATTTGAGGAATATAAGTTTTTAGCCAAACAGCTTTGAAATATGGATGAAACCGGAATCACTAATAGGCCAGGAAAAATAATTGCAACACAAGGCAAAAAACAAGTTTCAAAAATAACTAGTGGAGATAAAGGTGCTACTGTAACAGTTGTGTGTGCAATGAATGCCAGTGGTGCTTATGTTCCACCATTATTTAAATTTCCGAGTAAAAGAATGACAGATAGGTTGGCTCCGGTTTATTTTTTATAATGAGGCCTTTGATGCAGCTTTGCTTACTAATAAAAATGAGCGATAGGAAATCTATTGGCAACCACTTGTATTGTCTGATTTACCATTTGTTGCACCAATACAGTCACCAGTTGTTTTGAGCACTACAAGTGCTGCTGCAAAATTGAAAGGTATTGTTATAAAAGAAACACCACAATTAAATGATGTAGTTCTACCACTTGAGAAAACATCATTGTTGCAAGTTGTTGATGAGTATCTTGGCTTTAACTCTGCCCCTAAAATTTTGAAAATGATTTTCCAGCGCCCCAAAATTGCTGTATCAAGACAGCAAAATAGAAAGTTAGAGTTCATCACATTTCAAAAAGGGACTAGAATAGCAAGAAAACCATGTGAACAAAATACCGTAAGATTGGGTGGCTTTGGCCCATTTTGCATCTTAATGTCTATTGCATGAAAGTCACAAAAGTTATTTTCTCAAACACTAAGTACTTTTAGAAGCGCATAGAAAGGACAGTTAGAACTATCTGTCTCCTATTTAAAAATTATTTACCTGAAGTATCTTTTGGGTGGTTTAAATGGTGGGCCAAAGTCGCCCTATGTGTTAGGGTGACTTTAGCCCAACCCTGTAAAAAGGAACTAAAGAAGCAAAACAACAATAAAAACAACAATATTTAGGCAAAAAAAGTGACAAAAAAAGATTTAGTAACAAAGTTCTTGTATACAGTAAATAAAATATAGGAACAAACTAAACAAGTATAGGTACCAAGTAAACAAAACAGTTTAGGTATAAAGTAAACAAAAATGAAAAAATTAATGTTTTAAAAAATTTAGTGAAAAAGTTCTGGAGCTGAATAAATTCCTCTTTTCGTTCCGCAATAAAATCGACTATTTCAGACTGGGGAAAAAAAAAAGTTGCTCTGCTGGTAGTGACCATTTCCAGTTAAGTCCATTTTTTTTCATAATAGTAATTTCTGCTCCATTTTATCTTAATTTTTTCAACTGCAGAAAAAAAATTTCAAAAGTTTTTTAATTTTTCAGTAGTTTCATTAATATTAGTTATTAAATTAATTAGTTATAAAGTTTACTAATTGATTAGCTAAATATAAATAACTCAAAATAAATAAACAAATCTGTCCAGGATTTAACTCTCCATTGCATTTAACAATTACATAACAATCCTCAACAAGATTTAACAATTTCTTCTTTTTACAAACATTTTTTGTTTTATCAATATTTTGAAAGTTCTTTTTGCCTAATGCTGAATGATCTAAAGATTCTGTATGACTTTCTACAACTAAACTTACATCTGCAAAAATTAGATTGGAAGTCTCAGTAGTTCCAGTATTTGTACTTGGGCCAGCAAAGTCAATGTTAAT